TTGGGATTTATAGGAAATCTTTAAATAAAGAGGCAGAAAAGCATCAGGGGATTTAGATGATTTCTGTTTTGGAAATCAACCCTCTTTTGGTCTTACAGTTTCAAACTGTAATGGAAGCTACCAAGCTTTTTAACTCAGAAACCCACAACATCTACAAATGCAGGCATTTTTCTCAGGGTGTGCTGGGAAAAGTGGGGTTGAGCATTCAAGCTCCAAATTTGGCACTGCTCACCATTCTTCATGTCTTGAACAAGAACGTGTGCCCCCAGGTTCCTGTGCAATTCCAACCCCTGTCTCCCTGCTGAAGATGACATGACAGTGACATTTGGAGAACACTCGCCCTTTGCTCTCCTGCCTGTTTCTTTGTTTCTTCCTGAAGTCTCTGAATAGGGTGAGCATGACAGCAGTCACTACATTGATCAGTATCTATTGCATGACAGTTGCTGGCTGACTTTGGCAAACCCAATCTCTAACATGTTTGTTGATATTGTCGATTTGACTAAACAAAGCTGCTAAGGCTGCATTTTTTTTTTTTTACTAAAAATCTTTGAGAGCATTGTATGGAGAGTGCTAAAAGACTAGCTAGGAACAGTTAGAGTTGCTTGGTGGAATGGCAGTTATGGCTCATGATCTCAATTCCTTAAATTTTTTACATGCATTGCATCTGGTCTGGCAGCAAAACAGTTAGTTGAGGGTTTACAGTTTCTGCATGACATGAGTCAAGTGTGGCTCCAAGATGTGCCTCATTCCTTTCATTTTTTCATCATACTTTTCTGTACCATTGAACTAACGACCACTGCTGATCCTGGTCATTGTGAGTTGCTTGTCTGACTCTTTCCTGTTCTTTGGCAGGTGATTCTCTCCTATGCAAAACTTGTCTTCATGCCAAGGATGGCATGACAACATCCCATGAAACATCTGGAAGCTTGATTTCCCCATTCCACCCTGGGTGAACTACATGTTCTCATGTATTCTTCTTCCAAATGTGCCACAGAGGCTATAATTCTATGCCTGAGTGTTTGCTTTGGAAAAGTGTAGACGTTTCCAAGTTATCTGGACTTCTGCAAAGCTGGAATTCAGGAACCCATTTGCAAGGAGTTTCAAAACACATACTGTAGCTATTGGCAGCAGCTCTTGGACAAGTTAGATTGCTTATGACAAGCTACCCGTATTCTTTTATGTGTGTTGTGACATCTTCTTTCTGTATTTTGTGTGTGCCTCAGAAAAAGTTACCATATCAGTGATAACCATGCATTACGTTTTCATTTACATTGTTAATAGGTGGCTAATGCATAGGTAATAATGGTAATTGTCAAAATACATTGGAAATTGTGAGAAGTAGCAGAGCTGTAATGGATCCTGAAGAACATATACAAATGCTACTAATTGATCCCTTTTTTCTAAAAAAAAAAATAAAGAACCATTTTAATGCCTACTTTTGAGGTTGAAAAGAATAAAAGGTAAACTAATGTTATACTTGCAGGTGTAACCACCAGCATCAGAGATTCATGGCCTGCACTTGTGTAAGCATGAATTGTGACTTGACAGTTATGGAAATTTTATTCCTATATTACATTTCGTTAAGCAGTTTACAGATCTGTGACTTCCAAGAGATGATAGTATTTTGCCCCTCCATTACTGTTTCAGGTTAATGTAGGCGGCTGATGATGGAACCGAGTCCAATCCCAATTAATCAAAGCCCCTTCTAAAAGCAATAAAGATTCACTCAAGCCTGGCTCCAAAACTGCAGATAACATCTTATCCTACACTTTGAGGTAGATTATGCACCGAAAGCACCGAAAGCAAGGCCTTTCGGGATTCAGAAGAGATGCGTGTGACCTTTAAGAGATAATGTCTTTAGGACATTAGCCTTATGCTGATGACAAGATGACAATATTGTATAAAACATCTGGGGATTTAAATTTTCTAGATAAAAATAAAAACTTTCCTCAGCCCAAGTAAGGCACAAATATCTTAAAAACAGATGGTTTGAAAGGACAGGAACAACAATGTGATTAGCAGGCCCAATTTTCAAGGACATGGATTCATTTTAAACTTGTATGATAAATTCCAAGGTATGCTATCTAACCAATGTATCATCCACTATTATTAGAAGGTGAAAAGCAAGAATCACTTCCTAAAGATTAGGAATATAAGGGTCTAAAATAGTGATATGTTTATCCAGATCTGGTGGTTAAAATAAAGAAAACCTTCTTGGTTTAATTTCTCAATGTAGCCTATAATGGCCATGACACATGTTTTGTAATTGTTCAGATTCTTTAATAATAAATACTTTTAGCCAGAGTTGCTCCTCATTTAACCTGTTGTTGTTGCTGTTTCTTAGTTTGCACCACAAACAAACACTCAATTATTGTAAAGAGGATTATGTGTTTAGTCAATCCTTTCCCTACAAGAGAAATATCCAGAGCCAATCTAGATGTGATGCAAGAGTTCCATTTAATAGGAATACCAGTGGTTTCTTATTTATTTCTAAAAAGCCACAGCTATTTATGAGCCCTGCTTGTATCAGAACTGCAGCACCAGGACAGGGCAGCCGTTTAACTCTTTCCTGTGCACTCTGGCCTTGAACGAAAAGCTCCACATCCCAACAGGCTGCTTCTTATCTGGGTAGGTTTTCCACAAACGGTTTGTGGCTCTTTCCTAGAAAATATGCAGTTCCCAGAGTAATGGGAATACCCACTCCCATTTCCCACCCACCAGCATATGAGAAGCTGTATTTGAAAATGTATCCTGGGTTCCAGAGGTCAATAATAGGGTTCCCTCACCACTCAGCTTGACTGATTTGCTAAGGTGGACCTCATCATAGCTGGCAGCCAGTCATCAGTGGTGGATTCCTGTGACTTCTTTCTTCCCCTCTCGCTCTCATGAATCCATCAATCTAATTCCTGGGGGTGGGGAAAGGCCCTCATTTCTCTCCTGCAGGAGCCAGGCACTGGAGAAGGTGGTGGACTAGGCTTTCACTGCCTCCCAATAATTAAACTAAATGTGGCCAGTTTCTCGGTGATCTGCAAGAAAATCACTGGGAGGGAGTGGGAAGTCTTTTTGCTTTCCTGTCCCTTGTTAAAGAGCATGCTTAAAGTTGGAAAAAGACAGGAGTATTATGTCCCCTCCTGAACAGCATAATCACATGTATTATATAATCCACAAACAGGAATATAGTCCCATTTGCGGATTATTTGGCCCAAAGGGTTAATAGTCAAGTGCCGGCATGCCTGATGAAGATGGCCAATGAAAATGTTGGCTTGTCTAGCTACTTTATAAAGGGCAGGAAATGTGTACCAGCAAGCCACAGCAGAAAGCCTCAGCTGTAGAAATATGTATAGATCAATACTGCAGTGAAGGTGCCCTGGTTTCTATAGTGCAGTCTAAGACCTACCGACTGTACGCATTGCTATCATGGCATCACTAATGAAGCAGCAAGGGAAAAAGAGCCAATAGGTGGAGCATGTTGGCCATCGTTACCTTTCAGTAAGCTGTCCTCTGAATGTGTGTCTAGATCTATACAGCAAAAAAGAAAACAGTAAATGGTACACCTGGATGGATTTCTGTAGATTCTGGACACTGTCATGCAGTATGTTCATTTTTATTTTGGTTGAGCCAGTGTCTCTCTATGGGTTTCATCACTGCCTCTCCTTAAAGAGGAACTCTAGGAAGCCAGACAAACTCTGCAAGTTGCTCTTACAATACAATCATCTAATAAATAAATAAATACATTTCATAACTTGAGAGCAACACCGATGGAAGCCCATTGTGTCTCAATTTCACAGCAAAAAAAAAAACAAAACAAAACAAAAAAGCCAGGCAAAGTCCAGATCTTTTTCTTTCCCTCCTCTCACATGATACTTAAAGATCCAGGCTCTAAAGCACTCATGCATAGAGGTTCACATGTGCACGCTATCCTTGAGTGCAAACTGCAGTACAATCACTGGTCAACCAAAGCCTCTGTGAAGATGGATAACTTTCTTGGAGTTTACAGGACAGGAATCTCCTTCTCTTTAGTCAGAAGAGGTGAAGTATTCTGCACAACAACACTGAACATGAAATCCATGTAGAAGAGATAGCATACTAGTTCCATAAACTTGACTCATTCATAGGGGAGCACCAGGCATTTTTTAAATCACAGATAAGCCACCCATGGCCAGTGATTGGCAGGGGGCCCTCAGTTGCAAAAAGTGCAGCTGTGGACAAACGGGGAGTCCTGGCTGCTTATTTCATTGATCAACTGCACCACATATTGAGCTGGCTGGCAGAGAAGAGACTGACAGTGAGTTCCCAGCTTTCATCTCATGGGACAAAGATTTTAGTACAATAATCAAGAGTAAGAGACTTTTCTTCTCCATTTTAAAGCTGAGTATTACTTTCAAGGCTGAAACACTTTATTTTTACATCTCTAAATTCTTAATGTTAGTTAATGAAGGCTTGCTAGAAAACCACAACACTGAAGATTTTCTTCTGTCTTGAAATCATACCATCAGCCAATTTGCACTTCTCACCTAAGCCTTTCCCTGATGATCGACTGTTTCACTCCACTTTATATTCAATTTTTCCCCTTTTCGTCAGAGATTTGGAAGGGTTCATCAGCTGGAGCAAGTCAAGCAAAAAAGTCCAGATCTCTCAGTATCCAAAAGAAGAATTCAGTCCCCCCTGATAGTTCTAGGGCTCATGGGGGGGGGGGGGGGGGA